AGTTGCGACAAGCAAACAGCACGCGTCGTTTGCCTCACAGATGTCTCGGAGTCTTATGGCGTAAGTAGATGTAATCGTTTCTGACGTAACGTGACGTAAGAAAGCGGGGCTGTGTGAACAAGCCCTTGCTATATATGGTGTACTATCTGGGAGGTGTGCCGACCGCATCAGCCTCTCTATGGGAGCTGGGTGTTGTGTTGCCTAGAGCCACTGAATGAGCTGCGCTTAGAGTATCGGCACTCCGTTCCCTGACATTGTTGTGGGCGCCGCCATTTTGGGGCTTGTGCAGAGCAGAAACAACTGCCGATCGTCTTGATTCAGAACTGCGACTTCCTCAGCATTATATTCTGTCTTAGGAAGCTCTTGTAATATTGGTTTGCTCTGTCGCAAACTGTGTAAACATTTGTGGAGGACGGAAAAGCGTTTCCTGTGATTTCAGATAGAGCTTCAGATAACTGGAAGCCACGATTTAAAGCCACAATATGGCCAAGTGTCGTTACTCTGAAGCGTAGCTTATTTAGTGGCACTAGTGTTGCCCAATAGACCGATCTCACAGCCAGTTTTGTTACGTCGCCGCTGCCGCCATGCATCGTGGGAGATGTAGTCTTTCTGCACGCGCGACAACCCCGCTGAGGGCCTGCGCGAGCAGAGCACGAGGCGGTATACGAGCTGCCTCGTGAACTGGCGCCTGCCTCCTATGAACTAGAGGGATGGCGGCGTCGCGCATGCGTGGAACGCTTAGTGGGATCGGTCTATTCTGCCGCAGGGGCTTGGGGCGGCGCTGCCATTCACAGCAGGGTCGGTAGGCCTACCGGCTTGGGGCGCGTTTGTATCTATTTGTTTTGCGTTGTGCGTGAAGCGATACGATATTGTGTGGCTGCCAGCTGTGCCGAAGAGACAATGGACTCGCAACAATGTCAAATATTGCGAATAAAAAGAGAAAGCGGCGGTGTTTTCTGCCGGGGAGAAACACTCCGCGTATCAAACGCCGAGCGGCGCCTCTCTCTTCGTAGAATGGAATTGCCTGATTCCAATAAAAAAAAGAAATTCTACTGCGTCACGCGACTGCTTTTTTTTTTTTTCTGAAGACAAAAAACAAAACTGATGCAGAAACAGCCTTTCCACTCTGGTGAAGAAGAAAGAGCAGCGGAGCTGTACTACGTGCCGCCATGTATGAACGACGGCGGCAACCAGACAACCGGCACGCCGGTTTACTGGTTGCCGCCGTCGTTCATAGATGGCGGTAGCTGTCCAGAGGGGTGCGTCGAGATTTATTTGTCCACGGACACAAAACTGGGGAAAATAGCCCTTAACAGCTCCGCTGTAAAAGAAATAAGTCTAAGCAGAATGTGTGACCTGCGTGACATGTCAGAGAAAACAAATTTTTCAAAGGGGGATGGCTCTTCAATAAAGACATCAATTAAAGTTGCTTCATTTTTCTTGCCAGTCTTGGCGTTTATTTTGATATGATGCATGCTCACCGGATGAAATCAATTCAGACATTTCCTGGTCCATAAGATTTGGCTGAGAGTGCAGAAGTCAATAAAAAAAATCCAGAACAAAAAATATGTATTTAAATATCCGCAAAATATGCAGCTTCTGAAAACATAATTAAAATAGCTTTGACACTACAGTGGAGAGGACAGCATCGTATATTATATTATACTCCAACTTCGCTTTCTTGTTGCTTGTATCTAAGCTAAAGTTGACAATTATTCGTTTATAACAACAAAAGGTAAACAAAATTAAAGACTGACCGCTTCCAAACGGCATTTTCGCTTTGAATGTATACACTTCTGCAGCTCGCCCAAGTCGCGTTTTTCAAAAGGGTGTGATATAGGATAGAACTTAATCTTTTTCACAACCCAGCAGATACGAACAAACGAAGAATACGACCAACTTCACGCCGAATAAAGCATATCGGTTCCGACCGCCAGGTCTCAGTCAGCCATCGTATGGCCGTGCTGTGCGCCATGCACGGCGCCCTCACAAACGTGCTTGCACATTGCGACACACTCAAGGTCGCCGGACGACGCACCTCCCTTCCCATTCTAGCACACGCTACCCTTGCATCACAAAGAATGCCGGGAATGTAGGTACACGCGCTGCACGCGCTGGCGTTCGGAGCAGAGAGAGTTTGAAAGCAAAAACCTAGAACTAATGACACTTTGCACGTGCGTTCCTCAACAACTTATATTTATTATTTACTTCGAGTGTTTTATACAGGGAATGCCAGTGCGTGCAGCACGCGTTTATCTACGTTCCCAACATTCTCCTTGGTGCTTCGGTAATTTAGCAAAGAATGGGTCTGAGCAGTCTGAGACGCTGTATGTATGACGTAGTGATCCCATGACCACGCGCAATAGTACCTCGACGCCGTACGCCTTACTTTCGCTTTCAAGAGGTGACCGCTGCCGATGCAGCTAGCTATTCCCGAGTCACTCTGTATACCAGCCAATTTATTCTTACGTAGCATCTAGCTACAGGAATCGCTAGGCCAAAGAAAATAGCACTCTCTCTTAGTGCTAGAGTGACTCCAATAGCTTGTGTAGCGTTCGCTTGATACATCTCGGCTATTCACCGGCCCAACATCGTTTATGTGTTTTCAAATTGCACGGCGAATTGCTGCTCTAGCACGAGCGCGTACTCTATACTGAAATCTCACTTGTGATGGACTAGCCTACCATATCTCTATTTAATTATAAGTGCGAGCGAAGCGGAAAACTGGAGCGCAGTGTTTTTTTTGCCATGCACTGTCGTCACACTATGCCGTATACCTTTCGCAGCGTACCACTGAATATTTTTCTTGGCAAGAATAAGTTGGAATGACCACCAGCATGGCGTTACTTGCAAGCCATTTATTGGTGGCGTGTGCGCGAACTACAGGGGGCGCTTCGCTAGCTATCATCATCATCGTTTGTGACGTAACATGTGGGACAGATTGGGACAGACCGCGCAGATCTTGGATCCCTCGATTCGTCAACTAGCTTCATGGGCTGTTTGGGTAACGCGCGGCAAAGCGTTTCACCCGTCGTGTTTATTTGGTGAAGTGATATTTGTAGTAGAACATGTTACCAAAGTTTGAAACCGCCCGTGGCACAGGTATTTGTGCCAACAAACACGTTTGTCGCGGAGGTGTCGAAGCCCTCGGATGGTGGTGTGCTGTTCTCTACCCCAGTACAAAAAGCTGGATGATGAAAAGAGAATGTCTAGCGTTTTATCTCACTACAACATCCACCACGGCAAATAGGGTGTACTAGAGCCACTAAATGAGCTGCGCTTAGAGTATCGGCATTGTGATTCCTGACATTGTTGTGGGCGCCGCCATTTTGGCGCTTGTGCAGAGCAGACGCAACTTTCGATCGTCATGATTCAAAAGCGCGACTTCCAGAGCATTAGATTCGCTGTTAGGAAGCTCTTGTAATAATTCCCTGCTCTGCCGCGAACTGTTTTAACATTTGGGGAGAACGGAAAAGCGTTTCCTGCGGTTTCAGGTAAAGCTTCAGATAACTGGCAACCATGATTTTAAGCTACAATATGGACGAGTGTCGTTACTCTCAAGTGTAGCTCAGAACCGAGTCGACATCTATGACACTACAGCAGCCTCCACAGATACGAAAAAAAACAAAAAAAAAACAAGAATCAGAAAGGCTGTAAATAACCTTGACGCACGCCGCGCAAGCTGTAATGTGAAGCTCCAAGGTTCTTTTCGAACATTTTAAAGCTTTTTTTTTTTTCTTTTAATACAAAAAGCAACTTCAAGGCACTGCTCTTCATTAGAAATATCACTCACAAAAACGTTATATACGTTTCTTGAATAACGAAACAGTTTAACAAGTAAATAGCTTAAAAGAAAAAAAAAACTGTATATGGTTCACATATTTGAAGAAATCGGAGACGACGGACCCGTCGTCTCCGGTTTTTCCAAATATGTGTAACATAAACCAGCTCGCCTGTTTACTTACTCTTTATTCAATCGGCTTGTTTTCTTCTAAGCTCGGTGTGTATTTAACACGAGGCCCACTGAGTAGATTTTTGACGTCATCTTCCTCCCTCAAGCTCGGGGCACAGATTAGGCTCGTCTGAATGCCATCTGAATTACCTGCACAACCTGCACCTGCTGCACCGGTGCAGAAAAGTGTAGGGCAGTCTACTTGCGGTTGTGCATGGACACGACCAGAAGCACACCGCCCCACACATTTCTGCACGGGGGCAGGAAGCGCAGGTCAATCGAACGAGCCTGCTACATACGGCTGCAGCGTTCGGCAGGGACCCGTGCCTCACTGATTGAACACGAGCTGAGTACACTACTTCAAGGACACGAACAAATCACGTTGCATTTGTTCCCGCCGCTACCGCCGGATTACCGCTGGTCAGTGTTCCCTCCGCAATGCACAAATATTCCGAAATTGATGCGTGTGTTGCGCCGACGTCTGTGAGGGTCGGTGCGTGCTGCTCCACCTCAAAGACAAGATACACTGAACAAACACACACACAAACACACACACACGCGCACACACACAAAGGTTGATCCAAAGAGGCCCAGCAATCGAGTGCCGGGCCTTGCCTGCCGTCTTTCTCTTCCACAAGCCCACACGTCACATATCTCAATGCCACTACATTTCCATGTGCATCAATCTAAAAATGTTGATTTCCATGTTGATCCGCGGAGCGATTCGATTCTGTCCCTGGTACGTGCTGGTGTTTATTTCGCGCATGCTCAATCACCGCGCGCGTTTGCGTTGTGGGAACCTGGGGGTCAGGAGCGGAGCGCGTATAGATTTTGTTTCCCACTGACTCCCACAATGCATAACGTGGTATTACGCCGCGATGAGGAGCTTCGAGTTTTGGATTAAGTGCCATGATGTTGAATGGTATACCAAGGCTGGCACGTTTGAAAACTATATCTTGCTAGTTCAGTCGGGTTGAGTCTTCTATGATGATCAAGAAAAGCATGTTACCCGTCCCCTGTATAAACGGTTGTTTGCATTTGCATTCAGGTGTTCGAGAATACCATTCCCCCAAGTGCGGATCTGGTGCATCGAGATGCCCTGTTGTCATACATTTCGGGACTTTTGAAGAACGCCGATCTGACTCCAACCACGTGCGAGGTGCTGGAGGAGAAAGACGTATATTCCAGTGCCGAGGAGGTGACCCGTGAGTATTTAAACACTGTATTTCGCTAACTCACTTTTCTAATAAAGTCTGTGTGCTCAATAGGTTATCCAGATATAATCAAGGCAGGCAATCTGCCGCCAAACAATAAAGATAAAACGAAGGTGCTCTCAAACGAGCGCCGAAATGGCCTTTCTTGTTATAAATGCGTAGAACTTTATGGGGCCCGCTGTTAGCGCTTTTGTGACATCTAGCCTCGATGGCGACGTCAAGCTAATGACGTCACGGTGTCAGGGTGACGATACCAACGATGTTCAGATGAAATCACAACGTGACGCTGTGATGTCAGAGTGTCACATGACGTGACCTGGCATCCCGTCATGTGATGTAACGTCGCGTAACACATTGGAATCGGGTAACACCATGACGTGCATCGGGTCGCCACGTGACACTGCGACCAACGTTACTAGGTTAGCTCAGTCGGGGGAACTGCCTCTAAACGCTGCTTGCACGAGCAGCTTCCCCCTCTTCCCCAACGGCTGGACTCCCGGCGCTCGACGCGCCCCTGTTTTGGGGGGACGGCTGCTATGGTAACTGCAGCGTACTCTATAGAATACGTATGTTTTGAAGCACAGCGTCTAGATGAGCGCTTCGTCGTCAAAGAGGATAGAAGCGTAGGAGAGGGCATGACAACAGCCGTGTAGCCTCCACAAGCCATGCTCACTTGACGCCTCGCCTCTTTCTCATTTTCCTCCTTACTGTCCTCACTTACCACGCCAACGTGACCACATCACGTGACCGTTGCTAGCCTTCGTCTAGCTATGGGGTACTAGAATACACCATAGGCTAGCCTTCGATCTGATAAAACCTACCGGACGGAGCACGCGCAAGCCTGCAAGGAGTCCTACAATCAGCCATCGATCCCCGCAGGGGGCACCTGTGAAAGCAGGTGTTTGGAGAGTGGCGTCTCCACGGACCCCGAGCCTCGCAGGGGGCGCCTGCACCTTAGGTGCTAGGTGCTTGGTGAGGTCACCACGGACCCCAGCCACGTGGGCCACCATACTCGCACGCAGGGGGCACCTACTTTATAGTAGGTGCTTGGTGAGTGGCGTCACTACGAACCCCAAGCCATGTGGGTTCGCCCACCCACGTCTGGCTGTGCGTGGCGTACCCGTGTCCGGGGAAAAGGGAATCCTTGTGGTTGAGCTGAGCCCGGGGTACGTTTGGACCCTTCGGGGCCCCCCGGGCAAGGCAATACACCGCTTCGGCCCCTGCTTCTCGTAGGCGGGTGTCCTGGCTTGGCCCGACCAGGATGATTCAGTCAGTCGCCTCTTCTACCCTCTTCTTTCTTCTTTCACTTTTCCTTTTACCTCCTTTTTCTTTCTTTCCCTCTACACTCTCTTCCTTCCTTTTTCACCTTCTTGGACGGCAAGGGCTAACCTTGGGTGGCGACAGATACCTTTCTTGAACCACACTTGGTTATAGTTACTGCGGAACACTGGTAGAGTAGCATACCCAGCCCAGCCATACTTGCTATGGGGTGCTACCTACCCCCTTGTTGGGCTCGGTGGTGGGCGGTGCGCCACGGTTTCTGAAAACCTCCCCATCTTTTGGGTTCCAAGCGAAACCAACTTGATCGGCCTCCCAAAAAAGTCCGCACCGAAGTTTTAATCTCAGACAAGACTCCAGGTAACCAATTCAAGTACCCAAAGTTTTTGGTCATTCATTCCGAGAGTGAAAAACAGCTGTCAAAATTATCGCCTTTCCTCGTTGCGAAAGTACTTGAAAGTGTTGTGGGCAAAAGCTTCAAAGCCAAAAAAAATGTCTACTGGCGATCTTCTGGTAGAAATTGAGACCAGCGAGCAGAGTGCGGCCCTTCTTGCACTGCGTTTAGTGTCCGACCATAAGGTGTCGGTCACGCCACATCGCACACTGAATACGATTCAGGGAGTTATCTCTGAGGAGGACCTTTTAGAGTCAACAGACGACGAAATTGCTGAAGGTCTTTCTGACCAAGGGGTCGTGGCCGCAAGGCGTATCTGCATGCGACAAGACGGGCAGGAATTAAGAACAAAGCACATCGTATTAACCTTTGAAGCCACCACACTTCCTGAAGATGAAAATAATCCCTGGAGAAGGGGAACAAGAGGGACAAGGGACAAACACAAATCTCCAAACACAGCTAGGTGACTGGTGAGCGACCGAAAAAATCCGCCTGGTCCGGGTATCGAACCCGGGACCAGCTCGCTTGCCCCTTTGCATTTAATTGCATTATAATTATAACACTTCCTGAAGCCGTCAAGGCTGGATACCTCCACTGTAGGGTTCTACCATATATCCGTAACCCCCGGAGATGTTTTCAATGTCAGAAATATGGACATGGCTCCCAGAATTGCCGTGGGAAAGCCACATGTGCAAAATGCAGCAAAACCTACCACAAGACAGATTCCTGCACAAACAGTGCACAGTGCGCAAACTGCAATGAGGCCCACCCAGCGTACTCCAGATCATGTAGGGTATGGAAAGATGAAAAAGAAGTTCTGACACTAAAAGTAAAAGAAAACTTGACATACCAAGAGGCACGTTGCCGTTTCGCTTTCTTGCGAAAGGGCGGCTATGCGCAGGTGGTGCAGCGGGGACATGCACCACAGAAGGTTGCAGTGGCTACCCAAACGTCCTTTTCGGACTATCGGAAGCCGCAGCAGTCCCCCACGCCCAAGCTGAAAATTCAGCTGCCCGGGCGTCCAGTAACGGCTGGGGATCCTACTGCCTCCTCCAGCCAGACGACCACCCCTCCCGCTCTCACGGGGCAGCAGTCTGTCCCAGCTAGTGGCGAGGGAGCAGAGACAGCATCCCCTTCACAGGATGGGTCGGCAACGGCCAAGCCTGTCCGTAGCCCGCGATCCCCTTCAAGGGAGAGGGGCCCATGCCTTCACGAGAGGACATCCACATCCAAGGAGCGGCACGGTTCCTGCGCCACTCCAGCACCCAAAGGGCAGGAACAGGAAGTCTCCGACACCTCCCTGCCTGGCACCTCCACCGCCTCTTTGGCTGGAGGTGGTCGTGGCCGACGCCTGGTACCTCGGGGCCAGAGTCTTTCCACACCTTTTGGAAAGGTCTCGCCACAAGAGTCAGAACCTATGGATGAAAGTACCCAGGCCTCCTCTCATGCGTCTGACACAGAAGACATGGAGTGGAAGACTCCCAAGGCCTGCCATAAAAGTAAAAAACAAATAATACCTCCAAAGTAACAATCTCCCACTCATGGCTGCAACATTTCTTCAATGGAATTGCAGGGGATTGCTTACTAACCTTGACGACGTTGAGTATCTTCTGCAGGAACATAAACCTGCAGCCCTGTGTTTACAAGAAACACATTTAAATGCCTCACATACCAACTTCCTCCGAAATTTTACTGTCTTCCGGAAGGACCGCCTAAATGCTTCCATTTCATCTGGAGGAGTAGCGATAGTAGCCCCAAGGCTGGCTGCTTGCACGGCCATACCCTTACGCACTCCTTTAGAAGCAGTGGCCGTGCGAGTTCTAGTACATAAAGCCATTTCTGTTTGTTCACTATATTTATCACCCTCACAAGCTATAACAAGTGCGGAACTTCACTCTCTTTTAGATCAACTTCCAAAGCCCTTTCTTTTGATGGGGGATTTTAATGCCCACAACACCCTTTTGGGTGGGAATCGAACTGATGTTCGTAAGAAAATAATCGAATCAGTTTTAATTTCTCGAAGCCTTTGCCTTTTTAATACTGGTACTTCAACTTATTTTAGCACGTCATCCTTATCATCGACCTCCATCGACCTCTCCATTCGTAGTGCCTCGTTGCTGCCTGACTTCTCATAGAGTGTAAATCAGAATCCCTATGGTAGCGATCACTTTCCCATTGTTTTAAAAAGCACAGTCTCTTTTAAGTCATTATAAACTTGAACTCCGCGTTGGAAGTTGGAAAAGGCTGACTGGGCCACTTTTAAAAAGGAGTCAGAGTTTCATCCAGATACATCAGCTAGCTTAGATGTTAATGAAGCCTGTGAAGTTCTGACTAATGTAATTGTCCAAGCAGCACAGCGCCCTATTCCAGAAACGTCAGGACGCTTACCATCAAAACCAAAGCCTTGGTGGAATGAGGAGTGTAGCCTAGCTCGTAAGCGGCAAAACTGTGAATGGACAATAGTGCGCCGTTACCGAACAGTTGAAAATGTCATTAATTTTAAAAAGCTACGTGCTAAGGCCCGCTGTGTAAGACGCCAATCAAGAAAAACCACCTGGATGTCTTATACTTCCTCAGTCAACAGTTCCACAGGTGTAAAAGTCGTATGGGACAGGGCCCATAGAATTAGAGGGGATTACCGTGCATTTACCATCCCTCTCTTTACACTAGATGGCAGTCGTGTTCCCACACCAGAACAGCAGACAAATATTCTTGGTGAACACTTCCAGTCTGTCTTGGGATCTGACCATTATTCAGACACCTTTCTGAAATACAAGGCTGCCAAAGAGAAAGCACCAATAAAATGTACTGTAGGCTCTAAAGAGGCTTATAATCAACCTTTTACCCCTGTGGAACTGATGATCGCCCTTGGCAAGGGAAAGAGTTCATCCCCTGGTCCAGACCTTATTCATTACAGTATGCTTCAGCATTTACATCCTGCAACAATAGATACCATCTTGTCATTTTTTAGCTGTGTATGAAGCGGTGGAGCTTATCCCACTCTCTGGAAAAAGGCAATTGTGATTCCTTTGCTAAAGCCTGGAAAAGATCCATCATCACCTTCCAGCTTCAGGCCCGTTTCACTGACCAGTTCCCTTGGAAAAACGTTTGAACGAATGGTGACGTCTAGGTTGGTGTATTTCTTAGAGCAGAAAAACTTCTTCGACAAATTCCAATGTGGATATCGGACGGGGCGATCAGCTGTTGATCACCTTGTTCGCCTAGAAAAACAGTCAGGGATGCCTTTGTTAACAGACAACATTGTTTATCGGTGTTTTTCGATATTGAGAAGGCATATGATACCACATGGCGGTACGAAATTTTAAGTGATTTATTTTCCGCTGGAATTCGTGGGAAAATGCTAGCTCTTATCAAGAGCTTCCTCGATGAGCGCTCGTTCCAAGTGAGGTTGGGCACGATACTTTCTGAAACGTTTGTCCAGGAGAATGGTGTTCCCCAAGGGTCGGTACTGAGTGTTATTTTGTTTCTGATCAAAATGAACTCTCTTACACAGGTTCTTCTCCGATCTCTCTCCTATGCGCTTTATGTTGATGATGTGCGAATTTCCTGCTCTTCGTGTAATTTAGCTATTTGTGAACGGCAAGTTCAACTAGGTATTAATGGAATGGCACGTTGGGCAGATGAGAATGGTTTCCGTTTCTCAGCAGAGAAAACAGTCTGTGTTCTGTTTTCCCTTCGAAGGGGTATCATTACAGAACCCACTCTAACTTTGGGAGGTCAGACCTTAAACGTACGTCCTGAGCATACATTTTTAGGGGTTATTTTTGATAAGAAACTTAGCTTCTGTAGTCACATCTTGCAACTAAAAAAGAAATGCCTGCTATAGCATTGAATATTTTAAACGTTCTTTCTCTCAAGTCCTGGGGTAGTGACAGAAGGTGCCTGCTGCGTTTGTATCAGTGCCTTGGTCGATCGAAATTAGATTATGGTTGCATGGTGTACGGCTCGGCACGGCCGTCTCTTCTTCGGATCTTGGATCCTGTCCACCACCTGGGACTACGACTTGCAACGGGGGCTTTCCGGACCTCTCCAGTTCTCAGTCTCTACGCTGAATCTAATGAATACTCTCTTGGAAAAAGACGTCTGTTCTTGGGCCTTCAATATCACTTAAGAGTTCGCTCTATGCCTCGACATCCTGCACTCGAAGTGTTTCTGGACACGCGGTATGAGAGGAAGTACCAGAACAAACCTTCTGTTATACCTCCTTTTCCCTGCGCCTTAAATCTGAGGCCAAGAGCTTTGCAATAGACTTGTCGAGTCCGGTAGCAGTGTTGCCCAGCCCAGTTGCACCCTGGAATATCACGCCTATTCCGATAAATTTTTCTCTTGCCAAGTATGACAAGAAGAATGTACCAGCGGAAGATCTTAGGCAAGAGTTCTTCCAAATCTCCGAAAACTACAAAAACTTTGTACAGTTCTACACGGATGGAACGAAGAGGAGCAGCAGTGTTGGATGTGCTGTAGTCGGGCCGTCATGCAGTATTGTAACACGGCTCAGCAACCAAGCCACACTCTTTTCTGCAGAGTCATATGCCCTACTGGTAGCTGTGGATACTATCATCAGAAGGAATATCAAAACCGCCGTAATTTTCTCAGACTCTCTCAGTGCACTCCGTGCACTTGCATCCCTAGATAGATCAAAATATACTTTTATTCGGCAAATACGTAACAAGATTGTAGCTGCCAGAAACTCCAACATCACCATTAATTTCTGTTGGGTCCCTAGCCACGTCGGTATAGTCGGAAATGAGGAGGCCGATAAGGCTGCTAGAACATGTCAGGACATGGACACAGAGGTTACCTGCATCCCATACCTGGATTACAGGTCATCATTGGAAAAGTCGATTAAAAAGAAATGGCAGGAGGAATGGGACACTGAAGTCCATAATAAACTCCAATACGTGAAGCCTGTTCTTTCTGAATGGGCCAGTTGCCGACATAACGAGCGTTTTTATGAAGTTGTTCTCTGTCGCCTGAGAATTGGTCACACCCACCTCACACATGGCTTCCTTCTGCGATCAGAGGATGCTCCAATATGTGAAGAATGTGGTGAAACACTCTCCGTCTTGCACATTCTCATTCAATGCCCGAAATATCATGAGGAGCGTCGCACCAACTTTTCACGTTTTTTTAGAGAACAGATCCCATTCCACCCAGCCCTTTTGCTGGGAGAGGAGCCTCTTGTTCCTCATAACCAAGTTTTTAACTTCCTAAACAGCATTGGCCTACTACAGCACATTTAAGTTTGTGGATTCTCTTTGTATTGTCTGCATTTCATGAAAGATTTTAAACTCTCATATCATGCCTCACCTTTAACTAAATAGCACCGCAGTTTTTTCTTCTACCATTGTTATGGCGCACCACTGCCTTAGCAGCCGCTGCGCCATTAAAACCCAAAATCAAATCAAATTAATCAACCATCCATCTCACACGTGACATGTCACGCGCACTGATAGCCAGAGAGATCTACGGTCGCGTTGGCCACAACATCGTTTAAACTTTCTATGACTAGGCTTCACCAATATTGCAACGTGCCCTCTCCTAGTACTTCTAACCTCCTTGTTCGCCGTACTCTATGGAACACACGCTTTTGAACCGAAAATCTAAATGACGTTTTAAACGACGGCAGGCGCACTGAAGGGAGAAAGCAAGGTGCTCCTCTCCGGGGAGTTCCACAACTGAGGTAATCTAGTGACGTTGACTGTCACGTTAGGTGGCATCATGATATGCCATTGTAACATCCCCTGACACTGACATTAGGTGACATGATGACATGAGATTGCGACATCATGTAATACCTGACGCGACGTGACACCGTGACGTCACGGGGCACTATGAAGGCTTTATACATTTAAAAAAAACAACCTCGCAATGTGCCCTTCAGTGGCTTTCACCCTCTTTTGTTCGGCAAGAAACTCAATGGCGCCATTTGCCGGGTAGCCCTCACACACTTCCGGTCCGCGTATATTCTCTAATGATGTGCGCATCATTCTTGTACCAAAAGAGTAAATTACGTCTGATAGCACTATAGGCGAACATTTACTGAAGGTAGTGCGTAGATTAAATCTCTCAAATACTGCAAAAGCCGGCGTCTAGTTTGGAACCGGAAGTGTTTGGGGGCTATTTGAACACTGGCGCCACCAGGTTTCAACTCACACGACAAAAAGCGATTAGGAAGAACACGGAGGAGCCCTACATATGCTAGGCATTTAGAACATTACGAAAAATGCGAAAAAGGCAGTAATTTTTTTTTTCTTTACTTCCTCGGCAAAAAAGTAAAAGAGGGCTTTTTTTCCAGGATTGTTTACGGATATGAGCAGCCATTCGACCCTTGTGACGAACGAAGAGAAGCTTCTCCTCCACAAGGAGGTCGCCGAAGAGGTGGCCAAGCTGTGGGCCGACCAGGAGGCCGGTGTTGCGCCCTTCCGCTCTACCGTGTTTCTGGTGCGCGCCCAAAAACCCCGACCCTAAACGCTGGTTCACACACTTGCGTTTGACTGCGACCGACCGCGCCGCAACCGCCGCAACTTTCAGCGATGGTGGCACCGTGGTGGGAAAAACGCACTCCCTAGCTTCTGATTGATCGGCTTCACAATAAAAGGGTTTGCCCATACCTTCCTGACGTGAAAAAGTAAAGTACGGCCCTAATACAGCTCGTATATATATATATAAAAAAAAAGTTCAGCCTTTCCACTTTCGTGAAGAAGGGAGACCAGCAAAGCTGTACTCGATACACTCTGTGCTTCTTCTTCGTCGTCGTCGTCTGTTTTTCGCGCTGTTTCCAACGATTAATTCCCACCAACGCGCCCAACTATCCATTCTTCTATTATAGCTGGAAAGGTTGCCGCCATCTACGAGCGACGGCGGAAACCATACTGGTTGTGTGCTTGCCGCCGTCGCTTATAGATGGCAGAAGCTGTCCAGGCAGGTTTGTGTCGACATACACGGACACTCTCCAGGGGAACCTAGCCCTTAACAGTTCCGCTGTAAAAACTAGACTTATAGCGTCGCAGACCCAGCCTCGTACCCCCTGTTCTACGACGATCAACCAGATGACAGCCATTTTGATGGGCACCAATGCGCCCCCTATAGGTCGTGAAAGTTGCGAATACAAAAGTCACGTATTGTATTGTATTGTATTCTGCGGCGCAATCTCTTTGAAACGAGAGTCGAAGTTCGACACGCCAAAAAAGTTAAAAAAGAAAAAAAGGAAAGAAAAGAAAGAAAAAAAAGGGGGAGAGAAGGGGGGAGGTCGTCAGGGCCCACCATCTGTCGTCGATGACCCCTGGTGGGCGGAAGGTAACAGCTACACGATCACGGTGGTCCGATCGGTACGCGCTGACTTCTCGGTGCGCAAATCACCGTCGCACTTTCCACCACGCCTCCAGTCTTTGCCTAGAACAGGCCACGTGGTCATGTTCGTTCGTGAAGCCGAGTGCCTGCTCGACGCGGGAATTCCCAATGGGCGCTGGCAGGAGCTTCTGGCACGTGAGCAGCAAATGCTCGGTGGTCTCTTCGTCTTCTCCACAGGCGCTGCATGTCATGTCCGTCACGTTGCTGTCAAACTTTCGACGGTACTGTCTTGTGCGCAGGGCACCACCGCGGGCCTCGATGAGTAGGCGACTTCCCAGCGTGTTTTTGCAGAATGTTATTGGAGCGATCTCGGTCTTGAAAGATGCATACAAATGCATGCTAGTATGCTGTTGCATTCCCAATATCCAGCGCTCCCTTTCGACAGCCTTTATCTGCGTTCGCACTTTACGCACCCAATCTTTTTCAGCTTGAGGCTCATCACTCATGCAAAAGGCTCCAAACTTTGTGCCGAGGCGGGTGACACGATTCCTCCACGTCGAATGGATGTTCTTGAGGTGAATGTAGATGAAAAGTCGCCGGGCCCAGCGGTCTTCGTCCATATGCCGGAGTCGCGCGTAGTACTCTAGCTTGCTGCTGGCTTCTCGTGCCTCGAAAGATGACCATCCGACGTCTCCTTCAACAAGCTCGTTGGCCACTTGTCCATGGCATCCCAGCGCTTGACGTCCGACATTTCTTTGGCGTCGTTCAAGATATTCACGAAGCTCGCTGGGTATGCCAATGACAGAGTTTCCAAAAGTCAGTCCGGGTACCGCGACGGCCTTCCAAAGTTCCCTGGTAACGACGTATTGGTCGCAGCTCCAGAGGCACCGTCTTCGCAGTATGTTTCGCTTACGCACTGAGGACGTCCTGAGGTTTTGGTGATGCTCAGCGAGGTAGTTTTCTGTAGCTGATAGTGTCACGCCAAGGTACCTGTACTTGGTGCAAACAGGGATCGCCGCACCCTGTAGGATGAATGGTACAATGTTCTCCTCCTCGCGGGAAAAAATAACTGTCGCTGACTTGTCAGCATTGAAGCGTAATTGGAGTTGATCCGCCTCGGCCTCACATGTGGCCAGCAGTTTCCTCATGTCACCCACACTGTCGGCCATCAAGACAAGGTCATCAGCGTATGCAAGTCCAGGTAGCCGCCATGTAATCACCTCCCCGTGTTGGAGATGCGTCAAAGAAAAACCGATGGCCGTTTTCTCCAGCGCCCTTTCCATGCTAGATGCATACAACATGTACAGTGTCGGCGACAATGGACAACCCTGTCGTAGTCCTTTTTCAACTATAACCTCGTCAGATTTCACACCGTTGAAAGATGCCGTCACAACATTTTTATCGTAGAGCCGCTGGATTAACGTCACCCAGGTTTCAGGCATATTAAGCTGTTTTAATCTTTTTAGAAGCATGGTATGAGGAATGCAATCATATGCTTTCGCTATATCAAGGAAGCAAGTAATCATTGGTCGCTTCTCCCTCCGTGCAATCTCGATGCATTGCGTCAACGTAAAAAGATTATCTTCCAAGCGTCGCCCACGTCTAAAACCGTTCTGCAACTCAGTCAGTATGCCGCTCTCCTCGGCCCATTGTGTTATACGCCCATTAATTATGGTCGCGAACACCCTGTAGGCAACCGGCGTGACCGTGAGTGGTCGGTAGTCGTGTAACAACTGCTTGTTGCCGCCTGTCTTTGGAATGAAGGAAACTCGACCACGTCTCCAGTCGCTGGGAATCGGGTCATCGCCGCAGCAGATTTGACTAAACAGGTGTGCCAGGTGCTCTCGTGCGTCGGGTCCTAAACCTTTGAGCACCTTGGCGGAGATTCCATCCAGCCCCTGTGCTGTGCTGCCGTTTAGCCGCGCCAGTGCACGTTCTACCTGAACACACCCCACGACTGTTGCATTTTGGTCGACTGTGGTACTCTGCGGGGCATCTTCTAAATGCGGGATTTCATCCCTCATGCCTTCATGATCGCAGTTCATTTGTTCCGTCCCAAAGAGAGTGTAGAGATATTCACCCAGAAGTTCTTTTATGTTCTTTACCTCACTTAGATTGTCCGGATCCACCAGTTGGGGAGAGCTGTCTTTCCCATCTAGACTACTAATGTAGCGCCAGAACTTCTCTCCGGCTTTTTTTCCGCCCTTTCGTATGTCTGCCATCTCCTTGCAGTCATGTGCTTGTTTTTTCTTTTCAACAATAGCTTGTGTTAGTGCCTTGCGTCTTTGGTACTCCTCCCAGAGTTGCAACGTCTCTGGACCTTTTCCAAACGACTTTAGTGCTTGGCGATGTCCTCGGTTCGCGTCTTGTCGGTACCGAATCGCTCTCCCGATTTCAGCGTCCCACCACGGGACAAGCCGTCTTTTTCCTTGCGTGCTCCTTGCCACCGAACGCTTGGCAACTGCCTGCCTAAGTTCCGTGGCGTATTCTTCATACGTTGCGGCCTTCATGCGTTGCTCACTTTCTTCGAAGTCTTGACATACAGCCTCGATATCCCCCTCGCGCAGCCGAAACGTCAATGCGCGCTTTGGGCGACTGCGATGCCGTTGGATTGCTCCGAAATGTAGTAGTATGGTACTATGATCGCTGCCAACGCTCCGTTCACCATTGTCGTCCACAACTATTTTTTGAAGGCGGTTTGACAGCCTCTTGGAGGCGAGGGCGTAATCAATGCAGGTTTTTTTGTCCCGCACCATCCATGTATACTTTCCTTCACACTCTTCTCTCAGGTTTAATATCTCCAAGTCCAAGTCTTCCGCCAGTTGTCTCAACATGTGTCCATTCTTGTCTTCGCGGCTGTCCAGCTCAACCAGGTGACCATTAAAGTCCCCCATCAGTAGCACGGAATGGCTTCGTTCCAAACTTTGGACGTCGTGTCGAACGCAGTCTAGAATGGCCTTGTTTTCATCTTGCCTGTTATTTCCCACCGAAAGATAAATGGCACATACAGCTGTCGGTGCGTTCCCGACTTGTCCTTCCACCCATATGTGTTCTCGGCACCTTTCAAATTTCCTGACCCATGCTTGCCCTTTCTGAGGCCATAGTAAGCCCACACCCCCTCCCCGTCGGTTGCCTTCCACCCTGTTACACCCAGCCCAGCACCATGAAGGGTCCACTGGGGGCTCTTCAGCGTCACGCAAGTGAGTCTCAGCAACCCCAAATAAAGAGAATTGTTGTTCACTGAGCATTATATATAACTCATTCCACTTCCGTTGACGTCTTGCACCATTCAAATTTAAAAAACCAACGATAACACTTCCTTTTTGTCTCGTTCGACCAGGAGGCAGCGGTAGGTCGGAAGTCGTGGTTTGCTTCTTGTCCATACCCCCTAACACTGCATTCCCGCCAATTGTTGGCGGACTATGCGATTCACCATTTGCGCAACCTCCAGCGGCGTCATGCCTGCCTGGTGCTGGACGTAGCCAGTGAATAGGGGTGACTCCTGATATGTAGGTAGACCCATTCTCAGTGTTGACATTGGATAACTCTCTCTGTCTTTCATGGTCACCCTCGGCCCTGTCATCCCGCCGCTCTGGTGTACAGGAATAAGGGGTACCCCTATCTCGGGAAAAGTAGGAACCTGGGACAGTTGTTCGCTTTGGGGTTGCAGCATATACTCCGGCTGGCTGCTCAGCGGAGGTTGGTGTCCTTTCACCTGAGTCTTCAGTCGTAGATCCTTGACGTGAGGCACTCCGATATGGGGGGGTCCAACAGTCATCCCTGGGATGTCGTAAGTAACGCACTTTTTTTGCAACATTTCTGTGCGTCCCATTTGTGGGTAGCTCCCATATCGCCACGGATCGCTCTGATACCGGCTTCCGACCTTGTCCCTTCTTCTGAGACCTAAAAAACGGCTTGCCACTGCACCTAGTCGTTCTGTCACCACTCGGATACCTTCTTCGCCATATTGGAGTCCGTCCTTTTGCATTGCTCTCTTGCTTGTCAGCTCACGGCTCAGGTCGATGAACCTTGCTTTGATGCTCTTGCATAGTTGCTTGAGCCTGGCGTTCAGTAGCATGGTCGCCGCATGTATTCGTTTGCCCCTCCTGTCGCTCTCCGGCACTGAACAGATCGCCAAAGATGCCTTCCGGTTGGACCATTTCATCCTCAGTCGCTCC